CTGCGGGAAGTCCAGCAATGTAACCATTATGCCATCTGCTGCTCCCATAGCCTGTTTGTTTATTTATTTATTTTTTGTAATTCCTTTCTTTCTCTCTTTCTTTCTTTATTTTTAATTTAACTAGAGAGAGAGAGACACAGAGGGAAAGTGAGAAAGCAAGCCATGAGAGAGACAGAGAGACAGAAAGCAAGAAATCACCACTCAGTGGGTATGGCCACGGCACAATTCCTTTTCCATTCTCCTCTTGAGATCTTTGGCATGCATGCACATGTGCCCAGTGCAAGCCATTGGGTCTGGGACTCGAACCATGGTCAGCCATGTGGGAGTCCAGTGCCCTTAACCATGTCACCTGCTGCCCCCGTCCCTCCCCCCGCCCCCGCTGTTCCTTTCTCTTTTTATTGGAGACGTTTTTACTATAGGGCACGTGCACTCGCCAGAAAGACAGAGAGAGACAGAGAGACAGAAAGCAAGAAACCACCCCCCAGGGGGAATGGCCACATCACAATCCCTTCTCCTCCATTCTCCTCTAGGGATCTTGGGCACACATGCACACACGCCCGGCGTGAGTTTAAGCCACCGGGTCCGGGACTTGAACCTGGTCAACTACACGGGAGTCCAGCGACATAGCCATTATGCTAACTGCTGGTCTGCCCTCCCCACCCCCGGCTGTTCTTAATATGGGTTTCTTGGGACCAGTAAACTCCATAATCATTATGTCGCTGGACTCCCACACAACTGACTGCAGTTCAAATCCTGGACCCAGCAGCTTAAAACTCATGCCAGTTGTGCACGTGTGCGTGTGTGCCCAAAATTCCAAGGAGAATAGAGAAGAAGGGACTGCAGCACTGCCATCACCATTGTGGTGTGATTTCTAGCTTTCTGTAGCTCTGTCTCTCTGGAAAATGTATATGCCTATAGCAAAAATCTTTCTTTAAAAAAAAAAAAAAGCATAGGTTTCTCTAAATAAGGTTTCCATGTTCACATGCTCACATCCTTTAGGGAAGCACTGCCTAGTGCAGGCCCTACTAGAGATTAATTACAGTAAGAAATCCTCTTTTCTTCTGTTTAGCTTTTGTTTGCCAAACTTACTGAACCACCAAATTTTCACACAATATTTATTAACATCTTGAGGAACTAGTGTTTCCTGGTACATAATTTGGTAAATAACAATGAGCAAAAGAAGAGCAACAAGACAATAGTTTAAGGGACTATTGGTATCATAGGCCTTTTTTTTTTTTTAATTGAAGAACTGGGCCAGCAGATGGCATAGCAGTTATGTCGTTGGACTCTGACATGACCAACCGTGGTTTGAATCTGGACCCAATGGCTTGAAACTCACATTGGACAGATGTGCATGTGTGCCTAGGATCCCTGGAGGATAATGAAAGAGAAGGGATTAAAGCATGGCCATCCCCCCTGGGGGATTATTTCTCACTTTTCCTCTCACTGTCTCTGTCTCTTTCTCTCTCACTCCCCAACGAGTGCGTGCGCCCTAAGGAAAAAAAAAACTCTTAAAAAAATGGAATAAATTGCCAGCAGATGGTGTAGTAGTTTGAGTTCCAGACCCATGGGCTTCAATTCTCCTCTCAGGAGGAGAATGGAAGACAAGGGATTGAGACATGGCCATCCCCCAAAGAAGATGATTTCTCATTCTCCCTCTTAACTGTCTCTGTCTCTCTATCTGACAAGCACACACTCCCAAGGGCAAAAAAAAAAAAAAAAAAAACTCCAAAAGAATTGAAGACTTATATATGTTCACATTCTAAAGAAAAGGAACCAAATATAAAGTGATAAGACAAAAACAGAAATAAAAGGAAGAGAGCAAACCAAATTCTAATACAGGAGCTGGCTCAGCAAAGGACCTCAGCTCACAGCTTTAGCCATAAAATATTATTTCCCCTGATCAAGTATAGTGACCACAAATGGTTACTTTCTAAACCATATCTACTTTTTTCAGAGGATGCAGATGTTAATCAGACAAGGTTAAGAGCAGATTATATAAACCAATTCACTAGAAACAGAATCATAATCTCCACCCTGCTCCCCAGAGCTAAACTGAGTGTATCCCTTCCCAGGGCCAGAGAAGGGCGTCCAGATCAGGAGCCAATGCCCCACTCCCCCTGCCTAAGCAGGAAGAACTCTAGCACAGGATAGGCGGAGAGGGGAAATCTAAAAATAAAGCTCTCTGAAGAAACTGTCTTGCCTAAAGAGCAGCTTCCCACGCACACTGGAGTGCCACATCTGCGGGGGCTGGAAGCACGGGAACGGAACAATCCTGACCAAGTCACATAAGTATTAGCTGTTTTCAGGGGGTGATAGCACATTTCTGACTCCCCCCATCAAAGCCTTAGCGACTAGGCTGTAGACCAGAGCAAGAGCTCTGGTGATAGAAAACAGGACTTTCCTTTCTGAGAGAGTACAAAGTCATTGACAAGTCCAGCCTTCCTAGCATTCTCCTTCCTTCACAGTGCAAAGTGAGCATGGCAAATTCTCTCAATATACTCTCACACAAAGAGTGGAGTTGAGGGTTCACTTTAGAGAGAACATGAAGGGGATTCCCACATGGCCAACACTGGTCAAGCCCTAGACCCAGCAGTTTGAAAAGCATGCTAGGCACATGTGCATGCTCAAAATCCCAAGAAGAGAATGGAGAAAGGATTGCAGCATGGCCAACCCCCCTACAGAGTGATTTCTCACTTTTACTCTCTCTGTCTCCGGCAAATACACAGGCCTTATGGCAAAAATCTAAAAAGAAAGAACTTGAGAGTTCTAGTGGGATTCAAGCTCAGAGGTGGGTTCCCTCAGCTTCATTACCTGCAACAGGGTCAGGTACTACCAACTGGGGAAAAAGAAAAGCAAGCACCAGGAGAACTGCAATTAGCATTGACAAGGTTAGCTAGCCTAATCATCTCACACCCCAAGGACAGAACAGTTGTCATGTTGCCAGGCAACTAGCAAATGTAGTCTCCCTGCCCCCAGCAGAGGCTGCTAGAAAAAGTTCAACCACAAAGAGTCTGACACAACCTCAGCATTAAGCCCACACTGTCACTACTGGCCCTGGGGAATAATCCCACCACCTCTTTCTCTAAGCATTTTAACCTTGGAGAGATACAACATACTTGTATCAGGGAGTTGGAGTTTTGCCAAGAAGCCAGGGCAGGAAGAAGGAAACTATCTCTAGAGGTTTGCCATGGTGTTCATTCAGCAGTCCAATTCCCCAGAAGGTCTGTACTTTGACCTGACAAAGACCGCCTCAAGGATTAGAAGCTCAACTTTGAACACTCTCTCGGAATAGCTTTCAGCAGCAATATACTTGATGCTATATTATCTGTTCCCTTTACCTGCCCTTCCTAGGGAACATACACTGCCCTGTCCCATGATTCATAGATACAACAGACCGGTACAGCGGGTGGTGAGGGCTGGGGAAGGAAACACAATAAAATCTCCAGAATGCAGCAACCTGTCAGTTCTCTGCTCTCTTAAAACAGACCTTATACCAGAACACTCTGATGGTTGATATGCTCAAACACAGATACTATGCAAATGTGGAAGGGGATGTGGGGGTGCCAAGTTTCCCCCTAAAAGCACAGATTGCAAGCAAAGTACTTTGAACATTCAAGTGCTATCTGAATGTTGACTAGCAACAATCACCCAACAGTCTTACACTTAGGGCAAACTGAAATTTTCCCATACTGAGTCATTCATGAGCAAAAAGGAAGAAGCCAGTTCACAAAGGGGAGCAGATACTGACCATAAAATACACAACCTGAACATACAGTAAGAAGTGTTACTTTAGTACTGGGAGTACACACTCCCTACCCCACTAGTCAAACAACAAGTGGTAGGCTGGCACAGAGCTCCCACTGTCCAACATCAGACCTACTGCATAGAAGGGTGGACTTACCTGACATACAGAGACCTCTTCTCACTTGTTCGGAGGGATCCAGACCCAGAACTCATGCTGCTGTTCATCATTTGTTCTCGCAAATCATGTATCTTCGACTCAAAGCGACTGTACTCTATCAGGGAGACAAGAGAAAGGAAAGGGAAAGAATAAACCCAAAGATTTCCTCTGAACCCCAGTTGCAGCAGCCAGAAAACAAGGAGGGCACTTGGCTTCAAAGCTTCCCAAGTCAGACCAGTCAATCTTTGCTTTGATAAACAGAGCCCCCTCCTCCAAGCACAGAAAGAGATTTCCCTCCACCCCCAGACTAATGCACCTGAGAAAGGAGTAGCATTTCGGTATATCAAATAGAAAAAGCTTTATCTGCTTCAAAATCTCACTGATCCTTAAAAAAAGAACAACTGGAAAGAGGTTCCAGAGTAGTTTTTAATAAATCTTTAGAGCAGGCACTAAAAGGCCCAAGGAGAACAGATGGGAAAGGAGACTTTTCCAAAAAGCGGACTGCAGAGAACAGATGGCCCTGAGATGCAGGGTGGAGGGGCTGGAAAGGGCCTGAGGCCATTATGTCATTGTTAGATAAGGAAGACAATTTTCTGGATTCTTTTTTTTTTCTTTTTTGTGGGGTGGGGGTAGTGTTGGAACCCTGTATTAAGGTAAAAACAAACCTCATAACACTGTGAAGGAAGACTGAAGTTCTCCTGAGTTATTTCGCTTTTAACAAATAGCCTCTTTGGCCTTGGTAACAATTAAACATGAAATTCTCCAAAACCTGCAAGTCTGTTGACATCTTTCACCTCCAAAATCATCTAGGCAGTAAACGCATAAATCCATGCCGAGCCTTAGAACTCACTGAGACCATCACAACAGTCTGAAATAGTCTTATCAGCCTGGAAATGTAACTAAAGGCTTATGCCCAATTTAAGAAAAACTAATATAGGAAAAGTAACTTGAACCATGCAATTATTATAAAACTTTTTTTTTTTTTGTAGGAGGAGAGATTTGCCATAGGGTGTGTACACTCACTGGGGAGGGACAGAGAGAGGGAAAGTGAGAAATCACCTCCCAGGGGGATAGCCCATTGGGAGATGGCCACACCACAATCCCTTCCCCATTCCCCTCTCTGGATTTTGGGCATGCACACAAACTCAAAACACACACACAATTTCACAACATTTTTCAGGTATAATTGCTGCATAAAATGGGGCATATCTCTAACACGGGCTGTGAAAATGGGAGAAAACAGGCATACTTCATTATGACAAACTAACTTTAAAGGAAATCAACATTTATATTAGGAGGGTGAAGGTTGGAGAACTGCTTTAAAAGTATACAAACACAGGAACCAGCAGTTAGCGTAATGGCTATGTCGCTGAACTCTCCCATGTAGTTGACCACGGTTCGAGTCCTGGACCCAGTGGCTTAAACTCACACCGGGCGTATGTGCGAGCATGCCCAAGATCCCTAGAGGAGAATGGAGAAGAAGGGACTGCAGTGTCTCTCTGTCTCTCTGGCGAGCACATGCGCCCTATAGCAAAACAAACAAACAAACAAAAAAACTCTCAAAAAAAAAAAAAGAAAATACAAACACACTTCAGGGGTAAAGCTTCCACGAAAGCATTTTCAGGTATTATAGAGGGCTGGTGAGAAGCATCCCCACCTAGTCTGTATGACTCTATAGGAGAAAACAAAACACCTGCTCCAACACCTGGCACTCCCCTTTCTTTCAGCAAAGCAACCTGACCTTCAACTGGGTATAAAGGGAAATGGTAAAAAAAGCCTAAAGGGAATGAAGTTCTAAGTCACAAAAGTAGGCTCTTCTCAACAAAGTTCCCTTTTGTTCACTGTATTATCAATGACATCAACTGGTTAAATTCAAGTGCTCTTTCATTCATCATGCACTGGTGTTATGGTGATTTGTCCTCATTACCTACTATGTCCCTAAAATCCTAGAGGAAGCAGTAAGTCACTGACTCACCCATTAAATGTTGGGAGGGGGAAAGGAAAACAACAGCTGGATGATGTGCCCATTCTGGGTTCAAGGCAACACATCAATATCAATGAGGTGTCCCAAACTAAAGGTAAAAGGTGGTGACTGTCATGGAAGCCCTGGGCTGACTGAGAACACAGCAGTCCACCTGGAGAGAGTGCCCTACCTCTACTCTGGTTAGGGATAGTTTCTAGCTAGCTCCTTTCTGTCCCTCCTTGAGCTCATTGACTAAAGGGAGAAAGAACTATGTGAGACAAAGATTTCTGACCAGGCAGCCCTTTCTAGGAAGGATTAGTGAAAAACAGACATATATTAATGAACATTGAACCTAGACCAAAAAACAACAGTAACAACAAACTAGGATAAGTGAAAAACAGATATATACATTAAAGAGGGGGGAACACCGAATTTATCCTTAAGCCATTTTTTCCCCTCTCAAAACTTGTTTATATATTCCCTTGTTTGGAACTGACTTGCTCACTGAACTCCAACTTAGCAGGTCAGGGCAGTTGCTTAACAACTATGTTTCTTAAAGAATCTCTCAAAAAAAAAAAAAAAAAAAAAAAAAAAAAACACCAAACCACCATTTCCTCAAAGTTCCTAATCCAAGGTTGATAATTCTGGGCCAGAGGGCCCATTTAAAATAGACTACAGAAAGAGAAGATAGCAATTGCTTTAAGGAATCCACTTTTTGTTTCTATATGTGCTCCTAAGATTTCAAGTTTATTAAATAATGTTTCATTTTTTCTCCATTCAGATCCCCTTAAAAGTTCTGGCTGCTCATCAATCTCTGACTTCTATGTGTAGTCATCCATGTCCACTAGGCACAGAGTAGCCTCTAAATAAATGATTGTTGGGTAAATGATGAGCAAATTAGAAAGCTGAGTCTAAGTCAACCATTCTGTTTTCCAACTAATAAACCAAATGGTTTATTCAATTTATGACTGCCAGCTTCACTGAGGGCTTGGAAAGGTAGTTAAGTATTCCCATTGATCAGCAGATGGCAAAATGGTTACATTGCTGGACTCCCACATAGTTGACCACAGTTTGAGTCCCGGGCCCAGCAGTTTAAAACTCATGCCGTGTGTATGTGTGCCCAAAATCCCATGAGAAGAATGGAGGAGGAAGGATTGCAGCATGGCCATCCCCTCTAGGGGATGATTTCTCGTTTTCTGTCTCTCTCTCTCTGGCTCTCCATTGAGTGCATGAGCCCTATAGCAAAAACTTCTCTACAAGAAAAGAAAGAAGTATTCCCATTTACTTTTTTTTTCTGTTAGGCCAGAGGCCTGGGCAGCTTGGATATGGGGGTTGGACACCACACCACAGTCAGCTAATGCAACTCGGATCTAGTCTGTCATCAGACCTGCACTGCACCCGGATCTTACCCAGATGCAGCACACAGGGCTCTACTCTGTGCACAGTGCTCCACTCTGCACACGGCGCTCCACTCTGCACACGGCGCTCCACTCTGCACACGACACCAGACCTTACATGACACAATAGTCTGCTCTTCCCCTAAACCTTTACCATACATGGACTTCTACCTCTAAGACACTCCCTCTTCCTATACCCTTATAAAAAAATCCGCTAAACCCTGCCCTAGGGCACGACTTCTCTGTGCCCCCCTCCCGCCCCCCTCCCCTTCTGTCGGATCAGCTAAGCTCACCCAGGAGCGCTCCCAATAAAGGCTCTACATTTCTATTTTCTCATGTGGTTGGCCCATTCCTTACATTTGGCACCGCAACCCAGTTTTGTGTCCTGCAGTCCCCATGAGGGCCTCTCCTCCCCTGAACCAGGAACCGACCCGCCAACCGCCAATTAACCACCTACCCTGGCCTTCTGAAGGTATGTCCACCTGCCCATGGTTTCCAGGACTCAAACCTCTGGATTCCCTGTCCGAAAACGTGGCCGCGTCAGGATCCCCTCCAACTCCTGGAGCTCAGGTGACTGTCAGGAAGTCTCAATCCTCTACTGCCCATCTCCTGTTCTGCTCCATGAGCGCAAAAAGAGAATTGGGACACCTCTCCCTTTTCCGCTCACTTAACTCCTGGACACAATGGGTAATACCAAGTCCATAACTGAGTTAAAGACGTCCCTGGTCTGTCTGCTCTGTAACTTCACCAAATCAGGACTTGCTCAGGATCTCCACCACACGCGGCTGATATTCTATTCCACTGTGGCCTGGCCACAATACGCTTTGGACAACGAGTCCAAATGGCTTCCTGAGGGGACTTTTTTTTTAGAGAGGTTTTTGCTATAGGGCATGTGCACTTGTGAGAAAGACAGAGAGAGACAGAGAGACAGAAAGCGAGAAATACCCCCCAGGGGGGGTGGCCACACCGCAATCCCTTTTCCTTTTTCCTTTTGGGATCTTGGGCACTCATGCACACATACGCGGCGTGAGTTTAGGCCACCGGGTCAGGGACTCAAACCGCGGTTGACTACATGGGAGTCCAACTACATAGCCATTACACTAACTGCTGGTTCCGTGAGGGGACTTGATTACAATACGCTGACTGATTTGGAGAACTAATGCCAAAGGGTAGGCAAATGGTTGGAGGTTCCATATGTCCAAGCCTTTTGGGATCTGTATTCCTGCCCCTCCCTCTGCCTTTCCTGTACTACCGCCCAAGTCCTTCTCGAAACCAGAATCCCACAGTCTAAGACCAAACCTCTCTTAGAGGCCGATCTCTCTCCTATAGATGAACCACCCGAAACTCTTACCTCCCCTCCTTCCCAGAGCCCCACACCGAGTCCCCCACCTTTACCACCTCCTGCTCCATGTCCTTCACTCCCATCCCCTCCTCACCCTTCTCCAGTTAGTTCACATACCTGCTCACACTCTCACCCTTCTCTCACCCCTTCCCCCAGTTCTCACCTTCTCTGTCCTCTCTGGGAAATGGTGGGAATGGAGGGTATTGTCAGGGTTCACGTTCCCTTCTCTCTCCAAGATCTATCTCAAATAGAAAAAGGACTCAGTTCTTTCTCTGCTAACCATGTGGCTTTTATCAAAGAGTTCCACCATGTTACTCAGGCTTATAATCTTGCTTGGCATGACCTCTATGTAATCCTGTCCTCCACCCTTTCTGTGGATGAGAGAGGGCGAGTCCAGGTTGCAGCCCAAGAAC